ACATTTTAGACAGCGTGAGGAACAATGAGCTGTGGGCAATAGGTCATTTAATGAAGCAGTGTTTCTCATTATACACTGTGAAAAGAAAAAAAAAGCTTAAAACAGTGTAGTGATTACAATGTTAAGTTAACCAGTAAATAAAGCCAATAAATGTTTATATATTTATTAAATAATAACATGTCTTGAAAGATATACACCAAAACTGAGAATGATTAATCTGGCATGTAGAATTTTTGAGGGCCTAATAACTTTCAAGGCAAAAGAGGGATAGAATAAAAAATGGCAAATAGACAGGAACATCAAGGAAATGATTATCTTAAAAACCCACAATATCATTTCGAATTCTAAGTCAACAGGTAATTTTTACTGTAGTGGGTTAATAAAAAAGATTTAGCTATAGTTTTTATTGAATAACAAATACTGAAATAAAGACTAGTAAATAAATGACATATATAAGAAACATAGAGTATGTGAACCAAGTTAAGGCAATTAATGTTCATAATGAAATAAATCTGAGGAAATTTTGAGTGGTCCTTTGTTTTTATTTCTGAACTTCACTGTATAGGACACAATGTTGCTAGATTTTTGGATACTGGAAGCTTTATTATACTTAAGAGAAGTATTTAAATTACATAATGTTTGCTATGGCTAAAGAAGAGAAAATGAGGATCTTAGCAACTCAGAGAAACATGCTATGATTGAATTCAAAGGACAATGGAATAAGAAAAACCAGCAGACTTTCAAAGGTATTTTCTAACTTTCCAACATCTGCACTTTGATGTAAGCATTAGTGATCAATTACCACCTCTTTAAAGTCACTGAAATTAATGAGAGAAGCTTACATGCAACTGAGAAAAATTTACATGCTGCTTGCCAACCCAGTGTTAGAATCCTTTACCCATTTATTTTTAAATACATACATATATATATATTATTGATTTTTAGAGAGAGGGGAAGGGAGAGATAGAAACATCGATGAGAAACATCATCTATCGACTGCCTCCTGCACGTCCCCTGCTGGGGAATCAAGCCTGCAGCCCTGGTATGTGCTCTGACCAGGAATCAAACCAGTGACCTCTTGGTTCATGGGTGGAGGCTTAACGACTGAGCAATACCAGCCAGACTACCCATTATTAAATATTTGTCACTTTTAGCTTCTTATATTTGCTCTAGACAATTTCTTAGCTAGCCAAACAACTTTTAAAAAAATGATTTTTAGAGAGAGAGAAACATTGACTGTTTCTTTTTTTTTTTCTTACGCAGGGGCCATACTAATCTTCTCTGTACTGTTCCAATTTTAGTATATTTGCTGCCAAAGCGAGCACTCACTGTTTGTTTCTTGTATGTGCCCTGACTGGGACTGAACCCACAACCTTGGCATATGGGTACGACCCCAACTGAGCGACCCAGCCTGGGCCTAGTCCAGTGATGGCGAACCTATCACACGCGTGTCAGAGGTGACACGTGAGCTCATTTTTTGGGTTGATTTTTCTTTGTTAAATGGCATTTAAATATATAAAATAAATATCAAAAATAGAAGTCTTTGTTTTACTATGGTTGCAAATATCAAAAAATTTCTATATGTGACACGGCACCAGAGTTAAGTTAGGGTTTTTCAAAATGCTGACACGCCGAGCTCAAAAGGTTCGCCATCACTGGCCTAGTTGAACACTTTTGCTCACCTAAATTATTTCCACAAATACTTCCTAATTCATTATTTTGAGGACACTATAAGTTTCTACATGTCTAGCCAACCTATTATTAAACTACAAAAGTTTTCTTCTGATTCAGCCTTCACCACTCAGAAATACATTCTGTTTAACCAAATGGAACAAAGAAAACTTAACTTCGGAGTGGTGACACTAACATGCTGTTTGGTTCACAAATGATTCTTGTGGGTGAGTAAAATGACCAATTTATAAAAACATAAAAATGACCAAACACCCAGATGGAGTGGTTCAGTGGTTGAGCATCATGCTGTGCACGGAAAGGTCGATGGTTTGATTCCATCAGGGCACATACCTGGGCTACAGTTGGGGCACATATGAAAGGCAACCAGTTGATGTTTCTCTCTCACATCAAAGTTTCTCTCTCTCTCTTTCTAAGCATGTCCTTGGGGAAAAATTTTTAAAGAGAAGAAAAAAGACCAACCAAAAAGATAGAAACAAAACACACAATGCGAGTTGTATAAAATAAAGTTACAATTTGGTAAGAAATTTCAGTTCCAAGCAATTTCCCCAACTAATTTAGTTAATAAGAAAACCCAATAACCAGACCATCATATTTTCAACCATGTCATTTAACTTGTCACCATTAATATATACAGTAAATGTATCATGCTGATACATTAAACACGAGAGAACATTAAAACACTGCCAAGAGAAGAAAAAAAGAATATAAAGATATCACCTGCTCAAATCTTGTTAAAGTATTAAGATGTGAAACCTGAAACTTTCTTAAATTATTTAAACAGATGCTTCAAGACTTCCTTTCTATAACAATGCAATGGCAAGTATCAAAAGCAAAGCACTGCAATACCCAACAACCAATATTACCGAAATACTGGAGTACCATCATTGGGATATATCTCAAAGAATAGAATTATCACCCTGGCCGGGTAGCTCAGTTAACTAGAGCAACGTCCCCATATGCCAAGGTTGTGGGTGCCATCCCCTGTCAGGGCACATACAGGAATCAACCAATGTATGCATAAATGGAACAACAAAGCGATGCTTCTCTCTCCCCCTTCCTCTCACTCAAAGCATAAATAAATGAATAAACAAACAAACAAACCAACCAACCAACAAACAATAACCAAATCAAGATGATTATATTCTTCCTCGATACTTCTGGCTCCTTTTCAGTACACTCAGACATTAACTATCCATGCAGGAGACTACCAATATTATCAATTAGCAACAGATATAATTTTAAACCTCAGTTTGGTTTCCTCTTTTACTCAAGGTACTTCTTATTTATGTTATTCTAGATAAAAGATGTTTTACATTTTTCTTAAGGTTGAAAGATGAAGAATTGTAAGGATACTATGTAATACAATAAAAGCGAAATATATATCGCTACTACATACTTCATCAATACCATTATATTAACAGTTAAGATCAAAAGTTTGATTATCCTTTCAAAGTATGTACTTACCTATTAAAAAGCAAAACAGTGATGTGAAGGATAATATCACTATCACTGGACACGGTTGGCTTCATTGTCTGAATATATCTGAGGGCTTGTCTGTGCTCGCCCTGGCTCATAAAGGCTTGGATAATCTTTGAATGCTGCCATGAGAAAGGTTTTGCAGTAGCTGGATGAAACAGAAGATCCAAACCAGTCTGCAAAAATGACATGAAAACTGGTAAACACAAATACATGCTTTGCATTCATATGAAGTAGCACACCTTTAAAAGACAGG